TGGCGATTTTGACAGAGAAATCTTTCCTCATCAGAGCCATCCAAAGAAAAGGTGAGATAATGTTCGTTGTTTGGCTTTCATCGATCGAATTTGAGTAACCTTGGAGTTTCTTAATTTAATTATTGTTCAGATGATTTTCTGTTTAATTGATCAGATTGGATTTGGGATTTTGGAAATTTGAAGCGATGGCGGCGAATGCGGTGGACGGAACGGGGAATCCGATCCCTACGTCGGCGGTTTTAACTGCATCAGCGAAGCATGTACGTTTCTACCTCATTCTCCTTTCAATTAGAAGAGCAATTTTAGATGTTGTAGTCGCTTAATTTGTTTGACCGGGCTAGTTTTGTTAATCTCCATGAAGATAAATGGRTAATGTYACATTGTAGATWTAGGGATTATGATCATATGGTTTAAGAAATGAAGAATCTTTCACTTGTTTTTGCTCACAATATGATTTGCTAAGTCACTTGATTGCTAAGTCTCATGCAAATTTATTGCAACACGTCGCCTTCTTTGATATTGATGACAATGGCATCATCTACCCTTGGGAGACCTACTCAGGTATATAATACACATGCATGCGCATTTGCTGATAGTATCTTTCAATTTCTATAAAAGAAAAACATAGTTCAGTTTCATATATATATATGATATCTTGATTCCTTCTTGTGATTAGGACTGCGAATGCTTAGTTTCAATATCATTGGGTCGATTATAATAGATGGTGTCATTAACCTGGCCCTTAGCTATGCTACTCTACCGGAAACACTTTTCTTCCTCCTCCGCGTATAATTTTATTGATCATTAATTCGATGCTAACTAGACTCATAAATTATTGAGATCAATGTTTATGTTGTTAGTGTCCGACTTGATATGACGTAGGGGTGGTTACCTTCACCGTTCTTTCCTATATACATCCACAACATACCCAAGTCAAAGCATGGAAGCGACTCAAAAACATATGACAATGAAGAGAGGTGTGTAACCCCTCTGTATATTGGAAATTCGGGTCAAGCTACATGCATGGTCTAACCACCTTATGTTTTGCCGCAACTGTTGCTTGGGACAATGAACTTTCTTGGTCGCTGGAAAATGCCATTGAAGCAATTTAGAGACTCTGCTTCAGGTGAAATCAAGTCTCTTCTTAACCATATGTGTTTGCAAAATCTGTTTAAAGTTGTTGAATGGTGTTTATACTAACGATATAAGTTTTATTGCAAATGATTTTACAACAATTGAAATTTATGATTTACAAATTTATAGCAAAAATTTGGTTTAGCATATGTAAAGATTACAAC